AAAAAAAAAAAAAAAAAAAAAAAAAAAAAGATGTGCCATTTGGGTGGTATTTTCCACACACGTGTTGCACTCAGAACAAACTTCAGAGATTGTTATGTTAGGTATCCTGAAACTGGTTCAGTAATCCTGGAACTGGTGAACTGGTAATCCTGAAATGCTGAATTTGGCTAAGCAGAGCTTCTTGCTCTCTTGCAGGGGAAAGCAAAGACAATGAGGGGGTTTTAACTCAGTTCAGCCTCATTAATTTAAGGTATGTGGGAACTATTTGTGAACATTCTTGCAACACTGCAGTGTCCCATCATCCTGTCACTCCTCAGCCTCTCATAGCTGCTGGTTGAATCTCCAAGCATTCCTGTTGCATGAGGAAAGGGATGCAGCCTTCCTACATCTCCAACCCTGTTTTCCAGCCTCTTCAGAGCTCTCTGGTACAGAGCTGGGATGCAATGAAGGCTAGTGGGACCTCCCATGTAGCAGGTGCCTCCTCGTTTCCAGGAGCACCAGCCCCTTGCTGCCTCCTCCTGGGCATGGAACAGGAGAGTGAGGGAGTAGAGGTGCATGACTTTGCTCCTTTCCCAGGTGAAATGTACCAACTAGGCTCACATCTAGTTAGCTCTTGAGTAATCCGGGGACTAGGCCAGGTGGCTATTGGATTTTTGCATTCTTGGACTGTCCAGGCCTTGCTTGGGCCTTGCTGACACTGCAAGCCTTGCTGACACCTCCTCACATTCTCCCCACACGTGGTGTTGCTGTTCAGCTCTAACGGAGGAATCCCAAAACTGTTGGGAGAAAGGCACGTGTTACGTGGGATGAGAGGACTTTTATTTGTTTTGACTTTAGCACACTCCCTCAAGTTTGTTACTACAAGGGAAAAATAGAATGTGTGGGCAATAATTATCTTTCCCCCTTGGCTGTCCCTTACTTGTGGAGATGTAATGGGTTTTGCATCAATAGGTACTGCCTGAGAACTTATATGATTGATATTATTCAAGGCAAAACAAAAACCAGAGGCCTGGAACTTTTAGATTAGCAAACGTTTAAGGCTCTTATTAAAAGAAATGAGCTCAGAGTTGTTTCTTAAACTAAGACTGTGCCAGTTGTTTAATGCACAATAACTTTTCTGATAAATACTTATTATTTCGTTACTGTATAGAGACTACTAGAAAGGTTATGGAGAGATGATAATCTATACAGGCAAACTCAAGGTCCATTTTAAGGCTCAAAAATAAAACTGATGTATACAGAATGCATATGTATTTATATCTACTTCTATATAGGGGGCTGCTACTACTTTTCACATTTTTTGTTATCTGGGATTTCTAACACTGAAGCTTTTCGATAGAGGGATTTTCTGACCATGAAGATTCAGAGCTGTCCTTTATGGGACACATTTTCAGGGAGGATTAAGCTGCACTGGACTGTTGCACCTTGGCCACCTGCATGCCCAAGTGCTACCTGCACATGTGCAAGATTTCTTCTGGCTTATCTTTGGTGCATGTAATCACAGCATCCAATGCACACCTGCTGATTGGCAAGAGTTGCTCAGCTTTTGGGAGGAAATGCTCAAATACAGGTAATAGCTGCTCAGGAAGCCTCCTTTGCCTCACAGATGTGACCTTGGCATGATTTCCCAGCACTAGTTTTCAGAAGAGGAGAAAAGAACATTTATCTTTCTCTTGTTGGAAGGAGAGAATATCCGATTTGGGTAAAAGTATCTGGAAACCTTATCAGTCAAAGTGAGTTTTCCATCTGAGAGAAATCTAAGCTTTTATGAAGTTCTTTACAGTTCTTAAACTATTATGGCACATATTTATATACTGCCCTGAATTCTGGCTGGTGTGAGTGTAGTGTTAAACAGAACAGTCTCATTTTGTTCTTGGCCTGACTAAAGACAGATCATCTTGGAAATTCAGTTTGACAGCCAGTTGTTTCAGTTGTGCTATGTACATGACAAAAGTTTGGGCAATTTGGACAGGTCTTCATTTGATCTATGGAGGCCTTTCTCTAGTTACCAGACCTTACATGATGCATGATGCGACAGCTTTGTTTTGGATGCGAATAACAACTGCAAACAGTTTTTTCTAAAACTGTTCTGAATTGTTATGTGGTATTTGTATGTAAAGGAAAAAAAAATACAAATTAGAAAAAGATGCACACATGTAAGCAATTAAAGCTCTATTCACATAGGCTGGAGAAGACATCCAAAAGATGAAAATTTCTGGTTAAATGTTGACATCATTTTTCTATTTATCAATCAACTTCTATAAGTTTGAAAGAGTTTTCAGCTCAGCCTATTGTTTCCAAGATTACTATTGATGCAGTAATTTATAAATAAGCTTTAAAAGGCTATTCTGTTCTGCAATATATTAAATGATTATAAAATGGGACAGGAAAAGTAGGGTCATAGAGTAATAAATATTCCAGTTTCATATACTAATTATTTTTTCAATATATGTCTGTTTTTCTATAGTTTATGTGTCAGAAAAATATTTCTACTGGATTCTTATGTATTGGACAAGACGAGAAAGATCTGAGTAAGTTCTAAGAAACCTACTGGTTAAAATATACTTTTAGTTTTTGCTGCTGTTCAGAGGGATTCCATTCATGTAGAACAGAAACATTTCATTATTTGGAAGAAATTACAGTTGTCTTCAGATGAAAAAAGAAGTATTTTTTTCTCACTTTAGTTTTGGAATTTCAGCTTTACTGCTGCAGAAGAAAAGATGTCTGTATGAGAAGTGCTCTGATAGATTCTGATCATTTGTAGCTATGATTTTATGTGATCCTTCCTTCATAGAACCATAGAATCATTATGGTTGGAAAAGACCTTCAAGATCATTGAGTTCAACTGTAAATCCATCATCACCCTGCCTGCTAAACCATGGTCCCTAACTGCCTCATCTACACATTTCTTGAACACTGACAGAAAAGGTGACTCCACCACTTCCCAGGCAGCCTGTTCCAATGTTTGACCAATCTCTTCATGTAGAAATTCTTCCTCATGTCTCACCCGAGGTCCAACTTGAGGCCATTTCCTCTTGTTCTATCTGTAGTTGTTTCGGAGAAGAGATCAAACCCCCACCCCCCACCTCACTAAAACCTCCTTTCAGGTCAGTGTAGACAGCAATAAAGACTCCCCTGAGCCTCCTCCAGGCTAAATAACCTCTCTCAGCTGCTCCTCATAAAGTCTGTGCTTCAGCCCCTTCACCAGCTTCACTGCCCTTTTTGGACACGCTCTAGTGCCTCCATACTACAGTATTCAAGGTGCAGCCTCACCAGCATCAAGTACAGGGGGATGATGACTTCCTTAATCTGTCCACTTGAGTGCAAGATTGGTCAGGTTAGTTCTTCTGATGTGGTTCTGGCAGCACTGCTTATTTTCTATTAATGAGCTGATTTACTTCTTTGTCTGGCCTATTAGTTGTTTATTTATCTATTTTACAGGCACATGCCTGCTATATGCATCAGCATGGATAGGATTATATCCTAAATAACAGCTTTATTTGGCAGGCAGCAGCATATGGAGAGCTTTTAGATGAAGAACTAGCATATTTTGGTATACTGGTGATCAAATTGTATAAAAAACTTTCACTTACAGCACAGAGTATGAGAGGATTTTTATGTCTATGTAAAACTATGAGTTATAAACACTTAGCTGGCTATGAAGATACTACCAGGAGATTTTGAAATCCTACCAAGTTCCTGACTGTAGGATCTGCTAGTGAAGAGACAAACAGCTTCTAGAGAAGCAGCAGAAACTCCTGCCATAGAGAAGAACCAAAATCCCTGTGTGCGGGAAGGGGGAAGGCCTGGCTGCACTTCTGTGGGCAAGCATTTGCATGGCATCCTACCATAACTTCCTTGTCTCTGCCTGCTTCTCCACACTGCTGGATCCCCAGTGCTGAGCTGCAGCGGAGCTAAAAGGATAACACATGCTTGTTTGGTCAGTCCTGCCTCTGGTTTCTTCTTCTAGGGCTGCTTCTGTAATTTCCCATGCTCCATGGGCTCAACACCTTTGCTTTTGGGTTAATGGTATGCTTATTCACCATTAGAGAAAGGCTTCGGTGTTCATTTGGTTTTATTAAAACCCTCTGTAACATGAGTTAAATGAGTATCTGCAAGGGATTGTTAGAGGATTTGGCAAAATTTGAAAGCAAACTTTAAAAAAAGTCGAAGAAGCATATAACAGCAGAGATGCTGTCTTTTCAGTCATGCTTTTGAGTAACTGTTATATGTTATTGCATTTTGTGTATCACACTTTTTAGAATGCACATTTTTAGAAATCCAACAAGCACATGGGTGAAGTGTCTTCCTCTGACTATATATTCATAAACATGTGTCTCTTTAGCATTTCTAGACCAGCCATCTTTCCCTTTGTAAGAGCAATTACAGATTTAGATACCATTTTATGGTTACAATATTCAGTTTGCCTGATACTGAATGCAAGTGAATTTCAGGCTGCTGTCTTTTTCATCTGAGCAGTTGATTAAATTAGCTGTAATGCTTTTGAAATATTGGCTGCTTTAATGCTTCTGTGGGTTCTAGATAAAATTACTGTTTTTCTACAGGCATTGGATTCTCCATCCTTGGCGAGGGGACTCAATTAGCTTTGTAAAGTGCTTCGTGATCAAGAAGAGAAATAATACTTGTGTATGTTTCTATGCTGCCTACCATTCGGTGAAACTAAACACTGTAGTGCACACTGGTCTTTATATTCAGAGCAAGCTTCAAAGCTCTGTATTCTCAGCTACTCCTCTTTACACATCTGTTTATTTTCATGCTTTCCTTTTTATCGTTCATTGCTTGCCTGTGTCACAACTGCATTTGTATTTCATTATTATTATTTGTACATGAATTCATATATCAAAATAGTTTATATTTTACCGTTACATACAGTACAGGGGTGTGTGGGCAAACGGATTTTTAAAATTTTGTTTGAGATGTGTGGTTGCTTAATAAACTACCGTCTCACTAAATTGCCTGAGCACTTTCTAATGTTTTCCAATGTTTTCATTGTGCTGGGAGACTGTCTTTTGCTGCAGATACTGTAGGGGCTGTTCTGTTCATTGGTACACTCCAAATCTGTCTTTTCTGCGTTTCTTGGTTGTAGCCCAAACCCCATGCTTCTCATGAGAGTTCATAACACAGGGAATAACAATGTGCTCAGGAAAATGGCTGCAAGTTTCTTTTCTTTCTAACCTGGTTCCACTTGCTGTAAAATTATGCCTTATTTACTGGAGCCAGAGCTGAAGCTGCAATTCCCAGATAATACTGCAGCCACCAGGCTGAACAGTACTTTTCTCACTGCCTCACCCCATTGATATTCTTGAAAATTTAAGTACTAACAGATATTTTCTTTTAAGTAAGAGGGCAGAGAGAGAGTTCCAGCTGGCCTGTTGAAAGGCATCTCTTTCCCAAACTGTCTTTAGCTGAGACTTCAGTCCAGTGGAAAGCTGCTACAGTCCAAAATACTTATCTCCTGTGAAGTGGGCTGATAATAATGAAGGCTGTGAATTTAATTAAAGCAATGGAAACTATCCTTTGAGTTTTAAATATGTTAAGTTATAAATTGATCAGTTTTTAAAAAAAGTCTTGTCTCCTGGGTGTTGTGTGTGAGCCAAATGAATTTTTTTATGAGTTGTTTTGAATGAGCTGGGTGGTAAATAATGCTATTTTAGGCTTAATTAAAGCAACACAACTTTTTTTTTTTTTTTTTTTTTTTTTGTCTTTCTGAAATGGATTGCGTAAAGGCGTCAAAGCTAGGAAATAAACGCCAGAGAAAGAAATTGATGAAGGAAAAGTATTAATAGCTTGCACATGTAATGTTCTGCATGCATTGCAGTAACTCTGACCCTATAGTGCCTGTATCCAGCAAATTAGATGAGAGACTTGAGGCCTTTGTCTGTTTACTAGAATCTCCTCTAACTTACTTTCCAAATATTCTTTTCTTTAGAAGAATGTGAATAATTCTTGAGATAGATGAGAAGTTATTTTTGTGAGCTTCGACTTAATTGGCACAGCCACATTGTAACCTTACTGAAGTGCTGGTTCAGTATCATACAGTCACATGGACAGTAAAAGACATTTCCACCCTCATGTTCTAACCCACTAAAAACTTTCTTCCCCAACTTTAAATTTCACCTGTGTAGTACAGTTATCACTGAGACTCTGTTTTTTTTTTCATTCTCTCTTTCTCTGCTTTCTTAATGGGGTTTTAATTTGAGGTCAGATGAACCCAGTGATTCAGCATAGATGGCTTATTTTCATATGAACTGTCCACTTCATCATCTGTATAAAGAATCCCCAAGGTACTTGTACAAATACTTGTGTGTGAAATCTTGCTTGAAGATATAATGGCGCTCACTTTTTATGCCCCATCCCCCCATGATTTCAATTGAGATACAGAAAATACTGGTGAAAATATATTATTGCTAGAAAGCCAGACAAATCTTCTTGTTTGGTTCTGGATCTATATACTAAATTAACATTTTTCTCTCTTGAAGCAGCATCCTGAGGCTATCTTTATTAAGAGAAAATGAAGATCCCCTTTGTGTCATATTCTGGCCAGTGAACTTAGAGACCTCCACTTCCCTGTGTGGTAGGACTTCCTAGTTGTGTTCTCACCAGTTCCAAAATAAAGTTTTAATTAATCAAGGGTCTTCTCACCAATGAGGCTATCTTGCAAGAGGGCTGGTAAGCCTGAGCCTCGAGGACAGGGTGTTTGATTTGCTGCTCTGGCCCTAGCTGTGGGTTCAAATGCTCACAAATATTGAATAGTGAGTCCATGAGGTGAAAACAGTGTGAAGGAAAATAAATTATGTTCACAAAAGAAAGATAAGTATTAGAGGCATATAAAAGTTTACTCAGACACATTATAGAAATAGCTACTCTGAAATGCATTTTCTTACATTTTTGTCATAAAATATGATCACTGTAGAATCAAACTAAAGTTGAACTTCCATTATACCTTTGATCTTTTGTTTGTTTGTTTGCTTTCTACGTGACTTGTAAACATGGGAAATGGAAATCTCCTCTGGAGCCAAAGCCACCCTCTGTTTTAGGGAAAGTAGGCAAGAAATGAATTGAAAATCTAATCTCCATTTTTTTATTGTAAAATAGGAGAAAATTATTCCAGGTTTAAACAAGCAAAATGCAGAAATAAGGCCAATTTTTGGCTTGTTTAGTCTTCTAAATCTGGTTTGGCATGCAGAGAGAAAAATAATCTGAAAATACTTCAATAAAGAATTCTGCTATGCCAGCAGGAGATGATGAGAAAATGACAGCGCTGTTTCTAGCAAAATGAATTATTAATATTAAACCATTTCCCAACCATCCTGCACACTGTTTAAATTTCAAAAGTATATATTGACATATAAGTAATTTTCTTCTAAGAAGAAAATAATTAAAAATTTCACAATTGTAAGCCTTTTGCAAGTATTTACAAAGTGCTATCTTCTTAGAAAAGCTACTTGTACAACTGCATAAGGCTTGTATATGTTTATACACATATAAATATATATGTACATGTGTGTGTTTGTTCAGTGTAAAAGAGCAGTAAAACAATTGAATTAGATGTGGCCTTTTGTAAAGCTTGTTGTGAAATGATGATCTTGTCCTAAACATGGCGAATTAATTTGACACAAAGGACCCTAATAATGAGGTGGTGAATTTTCGCTTTACCAAGGACCATGAATCTCAGTTGCATCTTATAACTTTTGAAAAGAAAATTATCAATAAGCTGCAAAAATGGGTAAGGATAATAAATAGCCTTAGATACTTATAGTTAGGTGTAGAACAGCCTAACAGCTAAATTTGATCCTGAGATCAAATTTCCTGAGATGAAGTTTTAGCATTTAAAGTCTTCAAGAAATGATCTTTTTGTGCCATTAAATTATGCTTTACACATGCTTTACACTTTCAGCCCACTTTGTACCAATAAGGAGTCCTGGTTGTCAGAGAGTCCATGGATCTTGGAACCTGCTTAATTTGAATAGTGAAGGATATCTAAATTGAAAACAAACACATAACAGGAGAGTTGATGAAACAGAGTAATTCGCAATTATTCATGTATATTTCAGCAGAATGTATTACCTGTCCTATCATGTGCATGAAAGAAACAAGCAATGAAATTTATTTTAAAATACTGTTTAATAGAAAGAACCCTACACAGGAAAGCTTTTGACAATATGAGCATCAAATCACTGAGCAGTTTGAAGTTTTGGAGTGGTTGGACTGGATTTGTATCTTTACGCTTCTTTTTTTTGCATTAAATGCATGCTACAGTAACCACCTCTGTGAAGGTTCCTCACTCTCAAGACTTGACTCTTACCACCTCCTAGGGTGGTTTGTATGAAAGGAGTTAGTGTCCAGCCTAATTCCTGGTTCAAAAAGAGGAGAAACATTGTCATCTTCCAAGTAGTCTTTAGTCTTAGAAGCATTTTGGTGAAGTTCTTTGACTTCTAAATTGTCAGTGCCCTTCAGAAGTGAGTTCTTAGTCCACAGGTACATTAATCCTGTGATAACATGAATCTGCAATTCTCCTCCAAGGTAGGAGCTGATACTGTGTGCTGTAACATCTCCTGCGTATAGCACTGTAACTTGAAATTTGAGCAGATCAATTCTGATATATTTTGTGGTAGCAGAAGAGTAACATAAATTGCCAATATGTCATGCAAAGTGATTGTTATGTGCTGCTAAGTTTAAAGTCCAAGAGGTTTGGTTTGACTCGTGTGTGAAAACCACACAGATAGGAAAGGGAGAGAAGTAGATTCTGGCCTGTTTTGCTATCAAAATGTGACCACATTTAATTTCTGTGTTTGTATGAAGAGCTTCAAAGTCCCTGAAATCACCATGGTGCTGTATGTTATTGACTCAGTTTAGTATAAATGTTTATGTAAAGAATTGTTTAGGAGTTTACAAGAGAGTGTGGATATTTACCTCCAGATTTTGCTCTGTACCCCTGGGAAATGTTAGTGATACAAATCAGGGACTGTACAAGGTCTTTTTTCATAAAGTCAGAAATAACCTAATGCCTCAGCAAATATAAGTGGGTGTTTTGCTGGTCTTCAACGTGAATTTGTGTGATTTTTTTTTTTTTAAATTGCTTTTCTTACATCAATCATCTTCCCAGAGAGACAGCCCGTGGTTTTACAAGCATTTCAAGGTAGACATCATTTTGTTAGGCCTGTTTTGATTTTTTTTTTTTTTCGGTATGACTTTGGTTGCATTTCAATAATCTTATTATCCAGGGCTTCATGACATTTGAGAGGATGCATTACTTTTCCCTGCTTGCTGACATAATCAATACAGGACAGATTTTCAAGACTCACCAGTTCTTTGGGCACTTGCTTGAATATAATAAGCTCCCATAGGAACTGAGGACTATTGAAAATCTAGTCCTTCAAGTGAGCTTGTGCTTGCTCTGGATTCTCTGCCTCTTTAGGTTAGTCATGTAGCACCTGCTTTTGTTAGCCTGACTTCTCTCATGGGAGTAACTCCGCTTATTTTCTGAGCTGTCTCATTGATTTGGAAAACCTCTGTGTTGGGTAGAGTGGCACAATTCAGTTCTCACACAACAGCTGAATAGCTAAAGTCTCTTTGATTTTTGTATGAGTAGCTCTGCTATTTTAAGCAAGAGATAATAAGTCATATTCCAAGGTAGAAGTTTGAGTTTCTCAAGAGTAAAGCAGGAATCCTGGAGAAACTGATACTGATACATAGATAGTTGCTGTTTTTTCCAACACAGAAGGTTTTTCCAAAGCTACTAGCACAGTGGCTATTCTTTTAAAAGGCCTCTCAATTTCATATTGCAAACATATGATGCATGCTTTAATGTTAAAGCTTTGTTTCCTTCATT